AGTTTTGCAACATTTTTCTGATTCTAATTCAGTTTTCACAAAGCTATCGTCTTGCAACTTTTTTCTAATTTAGTTTTCCTCAGTTAATAGTTTTGCAACTTTTTGATTCTATTCAGTTTTCCCAAGGCTATAGTCTTGCAACTCTTTCTGATTCTAAATAAGTTTTCAAAAGGCTATAATCTTGCAACTTTTCTGATTCAAATTCAGTTTTCACAAGGCAATAGTCTTCCAACCTTTTCTGATTCAAGTTCAGTTTTTACAAGGCAATAGTCTTCCAACCTTTTCTGATTCAAATTTAGTTTTTACAAGGCAATAGTCTTGGAACTTTTTTCCAATTTAGTTTTAACCACTTCATGCCGGGGCATTTTTCAATGTTGATGATGCTGGGCTGGCATGACTATCATTTTTTCCGTTTTCAAAATCCTTCAACAATTCATCATTTCATTTAACGGTCGTTTATAGCCGCACGAAATAACCTTTAGGCACAACTCTAAGTTGACAGGTGACCTTCATTGACGCCTGTGTATTTCAGCCAGGCTTGCAGCCTTGTAAAAAGAGCGCAGATTGTGCAGTGTTGTGTAACTTTCTTTCGTTCACGAACCTGGCTCAGTGCACTGCTGACCTCTTTTCAATAGGGGCCAGATTAGCGTGCAGCGGTGCTGTGTGGCTCATCGCTGCAGTGGTGGAGCGCTTTTGTCCCCGGTGGTAATCCACTCACTCTCAATGTCCCAAACCCTGGTATACCGTTTCAAAACAAGGCTGGATTATCACCACTTTTGAGAGTGAAAAATGTCAATAATTCCCAGCAGCCTGGTCTTTTGTTCGGAGTACGGTCTTTTGTTACAGGACCCTGTTTCCTTTGTCCGAGTTCAGAGAACCCGGCCACGCATATAAAACATACGTCTCCGATTCCGGAGTCCCCGGCAGGGAGTGATTAATAAGTGTGTAGTCTAATATCTTTTTTGATTCTAATTTGGTTTACATCAGGCTATAGTCATCTTCATTTGCCGTTTACACCACACGCTGCTTCTCGGACCATAACTGCACACAGAGTCAGACAACAATTGAGTCCGACTTATTTATTATTCCATTATTTTTGAATAAAAAGACAGTTATGACCACAACAATAGCTTTACATGTGCTTCGAATGAACCAGTTCGACATTCCAACTGCACCTGTCCATGATCAGACCATCTGGATGTGCATGCAAGGTATACCGTATCGGCGCGGCCCTACGCAGAATCGGGTGTGTGCTTTGCTCCCTTAACCTTAACAGTCCTCAGTCCTCCAACAGGTGAAGGATTGAGGACTGATAGAGTTAACGATCTTGCTATATTCAAACACTTAACTGGCTGACGAAGCACAGATCTCATGTCACTCTAATGCACACATTACGTTATCTCCCATTTGAACTGGTTTTAAATATCTGAATGAAAGATAATGTAGAAATTAATCCAACTACAATACATATATTTGGTACGCAAAATTCAAATAAACTGTACACCCATTTTAAATCCCAGTTGAGGGTTCCAAACCATCCTTGCAATCAGGGAAAACAGAGAAAATGAGTTTCCCTTTCTTCCGGTCAAGGAAAAGTCAGGGAATTAGATTGACCCAAAAGAAAAAGTAACAAGTCATGTTTTATTTTGTTTCATGACTAAATGGCATATCCACAAGATGATTTGCTGTGTTTTCTTGAGTTGGAATATGTCAAGATGGTTATCCAGGAATTCTGCAAAATTGATCGGGGTAAAATCACAGAATTTGGTTTTCTGGAAATACGGGAACCCTGCTGTTTCGACCCTGAGCAGAATGAAGCTTTTTGGGGGGCCCAACCACTAAAAAAGTTGCGCAGTGTTTTTAGGGTGCACCCTATTCGGGTAGGGAGGGACGTCTGCAGCATTAACAGTAACATTTTTTGATTGAAGAGCACCTAGGGTGCCCAGTTCTGCAGGTGGAACACAAATAGATTCAATCAACACTTCTTGCCTTGCTCTGAAACCCCTCAACTTCTCCACTTTTTATCTGATCATCAGAATATTAAATACCCCTGAGTATTGCATATAATTCTGTAACAAAAGAGCCAAAGAGAGGGATTAACTACTCTACCTTTCCACTTTTTATCTGATTGCCTGAATTGAATTGAATTGGAATTCAAATTGCATTGTAAAGCACATTATTAATTTGCCTATGATGCCCTCCATTTTGACATCACATACATGTACGAGAGCGAGCCTACGTTCATTCTTGAGAGACGCATTGAAGCTTTCTATTTTCATTAATCTTGACTTTCAACAACAAACCAGCCAGTGCAGTATTTATCCAAAAACACAATGTGAGAAAGATATAAACATTATTAAACAAAATTTTTAAGAGCATGACATCTCGAGAAAAAAAACCAACTTTAATTTCACCAGCGACTTTCACATAGAAACAATCGTTCAAAACCAGTTTGCTGCCTGTGGCTTACTGTATATACATGTACACGCCCTAGAAATTTCGCATGATGTATACACAGAAAGTTTTTTGGACCTTCAATACGCAGTGTTGTGAGTCCTATGCTTCAAGATGTCCATCTACCAAGCCATCTGTTTTGCCTTAGTGAGCATCTCTCGTGAAATGATCACGCGCTGGATCTGCGCTGTTCCTTCATAGATCTGGGGGGGGGAACAGGAAAAGAGAGATATAGACATAAACTGAGACACCTAGCTGCATTCAGGCCCCAAGAGTCTAAACGTCTGAAGTTCACTGGCAAGCACAAGGCACCAAATGCACACAGGTTTCTAACATTACTGCATTCAAGGGAAAAACCTAGTGCTGAAATCAATATCAAAGATTTGATGGAAACAACCTCCAGGCTGGCTCACACTTACATGTAACATGAAAGCCAATACCAGTTAAATTTGTGATGTCAGTCATCATCCTCTGCATTCACAGAAGTTGAACACTTCAACATGAGTACAAGTACTTTATGAGTACAAAAACGTACTCAAGTTTGAATACGTCATAAGTACGAGTATGAAAACTGTTTGAGTACAAATGTGAGTATGAGTGTGAGTCTGAGTACTGCTGCACTGTAAGAGACCACTGGATCGTACCTGGTAGATCTTGGCATCTCTCATCAGCTTCTCCACTGGGTAATCACTGTTGAAGCCGTTGCCACCAAAGATCTGCACGGCGTCTGTGGCGCACTTGTTGGCAACGTCAGCGGCCAGCGCCTTGGCGATTGAGGCAAAGTAGGTGTTGCGCCGGCCCTGGTCAATCTCCCACGCCGCTCGGTGGGTCATGAGACGGGCAGATTCCACACCAATGGCCATGTCGGCCAGGATGAAGGACACGGCTTGGTGCTGGACCACGAGAGAGAGAATGAAGGGGCAACGCAGAAACATGTGGGTCATTCTGTTCATTTCAGAGGACGTAGGGATGCACATCGCGACAAAATACAGACCAGATCCCACACAGTGAGTCTATGAGTCATTGTTTCAGTGACTTAGTATAAGTTTGTACAAGGAAAAGAAAAGTGAGCTCTTTAATTTGATGTTTCACTCAATCTGGCATCCTGACGTAAAAGGACATTATGTGGGTGGAAAATACTGCAAAGGTCTCATTGATTTACACTGGGCAAGATTCTGTGGAAGGTGGAGAGTGGCTCTAGCAGCTTGTGACTCATTTTGTTAAGTTCCATCGCTTCTGAGATATAATAGAAGCCTGTTGCACACCAACCACATTCAAATACTAATGAAACGCTAACCAAGTCTCATGAGACCTTGTATGTGTGAATGGAGAGATGAACAACTATCAAGCACGGCTCTTTCAAGTTGGAGGCCTACTTCTATGAATCCAGAGCCCTTGGGTAGAACTAAACTTCAGCAATGCGCCTCAGAGATGAGGCAGTGTGGTTTAGAGCTTCAAGATTGTGATGCAAGATCAGGGGTGGGGGGTTTCAAATAAAGCTACTAGCCCAAGGATGTGTCCTTGAGCAAGCCACTTTACCCGTACTTCTTCCAGGAATGTGACTGAGCATACAACCAGCACTAGACTGGCATCCTATCGACGCAAAAGACATGCTCTTAGTTGTTTCTTGCCAAGGAAACTGGAGATAAGCAACCAGCCGGACAAGGCCACATGGCTCAAAACTTACCTCGCAGATGTATTTGCCAAACGTCTTTCTCTCCATGGAGTACTTGGTGGCTTCGTCCAAGGCCCTCTGCGCCAGTCCAGTGGCCCCTGCAGCTACCTAGAAAACCAAACAAAGGAAATGGCTTAGGCTAAACTAGTCCATACGGACTGCATGTGAGGGTGGTAACAATGCAATGAGGGTTTCTTAATTAATAACGCCAACTACATGATTACCCTCCAAGTGAGGTACGGGTCTCAAAAAATATTAACCTGCCAGCATGTTGAAAACCACTGAATGCAACTGTTGGTTTGGTCATTTTATGGCTGTTTCCTTGCAGACAAAAAGGTCACCAATGATTAAGCAAAGGTTGAGCACATACCAGAAAGGTAGCTGACTGGAGGTCTAGGATTGTTAGAGGGAAAGGCTTGAGGTTTTCATTGAGGTGGGTTTAAACTTATAGTTTTTAGTAATGGTTTTTAGTCTGGTAGCTGGTGTACCAACCTTGGGCTCTGTCTTGGGTTAGGATTAAAGTTAGGGGTAGGCACTGGTTTCAGACTTGGGTTTAGGGTTAGGGTTATAAATACATAAGAATTAGCTGGTATACTTTACTCCTTGTCTTATCAAAGAGTTGGGGTCAAGTTGATATTAAGGGATAGGGTTAGGATTAGGTTTAGGGTTATGTACATATATACGGCAGAAGTAGCAGGTATACTCACCGGAGGCCTGGTCTTGTCGAAGGCACCCATGGCAATCTTGAAGCCCATTCCTTCTCCCAGCAGAACATTCTCCTTAGGGATTCTGACGTCCTCAAAGGTGATGCCGCGGGTGTCTGACGCCCTCTGGCCCATGTTCCACTCCTATCCAGGAAAAAAACGCAATAAGGTAAATTAACCCCTTCGCTACGGATGACTGCTACTACAGCACCTTAATGTGAGGATTAGTGCATACCACACATACAGTCTATTCACCATGCAGCTGCTGGTTCAATGGGGCCTGCTGATGGACAAAGCCCTCCATTCATGGCATGCCACAGCCCAGCAGTCAGGGTCAAAATAATCCCCCCGTGAAGGGGTTAACAACTGCACAAATACACTGTGTAGGATTCAAAACACAACTTTGGTGTTGCATTCAAATTTCAACCTTATTTCTTTTTGTGCGCATCCTTACGAAAAAAGTGATTCATGTAATTCCATTTAAGTAAGCACAACATCTCATTTCAGATAGACGGATTTTTAACTAAACTACGACCATTCAGATGAACTTCAACTTCATACAGATCAAAAACTTCTGACAATTTTGCTGGTACCTTCTATAATTTGGCAGATTAAGACCTGACTTTCTTGACATAGATCTTCCATAACAATGTGTTCTGCAAGAGTGTGGTTTGAAACACGATAAGCCACATGTATGAGGATTCATTCAAGGCTATCTTGTTTTAGTTCATTAATTTCATATTCATCAAACAACAGATTTGTGTTGCGACAGAACTTTGTGTAGCACATTTATTAATTGAGAATAACCAATCTTTCATCTATTCTAATAGCATGGAAAATATTTTTTTAATACCACATAATTCAGAGCCCTGCATAATTAATAGACTATGACGTCATTTTGAACCAGGAAGTGTAGTGCAAATGAAAGGAGCACGCCACTTGGTTCACACTCTGGTTCTTGCGCTAACGCCTCTCTACACACATAATTGTGTGTGTGATGCACATGTATTCACTTTGGTACTCTATAGTGGGCATTTTGGGGCCCACTTTTTCCACAAACTATCTGGTGTATAATCACATGCTTTTTGTCTGAAAATATGGTACCATAAATGTGCGCCAATCTTGTTTTACAAACTCGAAATGAAAAGCTCAACTCTGTACGCAACCATCTGCATACAACAACCTTCTGTTATTTGGAAGGTCATATATACCCACCTTCCGGCCTGGACTCACTCCCGGCCAGTCACGCTCCACGATGAACCCTGTGAACGCCTTGGAGGCTGGGGCCTTGGGGTCCGGGTCAGTGCGCGCCAGGACGAAGTACCAGTTGGCATGCCCCCCGTTGGTGATCCACATCTTGCTGCCGTTTAGGATGTATTCATCGCCTTTCTTATCGGCCCGGGTTCTGATCCCGGCCACGTCCGACCCCGCGCCGGGTTCTGTTACGCAGTAGGCCTGGCAAGAGAGAAACCCCCCCAAAAAAGGAAACATAGAGGTTTGACTTTTGTTCACAATACCACGGCACTTATGAGCTTGATGTACAACTGTAACCCTAACTTTACACTGAGTTTCTTACACCTTTCTTCTCCCTTTGTGCCCAAGGCATGTTGCTGTGGTTCCGCTCCCCCCTCTCCACAGGCATATGTGTTCTTTATTGCCTTTGGACTTCAATATCAGATTAGTGGTGCTGGTAATGGTCAGATCCACATGGTAGGGGTGAAAGGATCCAAATTTCAAATTGTAAAAGTTGGTCCCGGTGGGTAGAAATAAGAGAATGAGTAGAAATTTCATTTCAATTTACTAAAAGCAATTCTGCAGCTCTGTTTACGTATGGATTTCTATGGATTTCTACATGTACGTGTACGTACTAAATAGACTTTCCCTTAGCAGTAAACCTGTAGACATTACTGTGCAAAAGCCCCATGATCAGGCTCTCAAGGAAAAGATGCTTTAGCTTTGTGCACATTCAGTTGAAATTTTTTTATTTCCATTTTAAAATTCCCTCTATTGGTCCCATGCGCAAAAAGAAAAATATGAGCTTGGTAGAGTCCGCTGTGCCTTGCTTGATTTTTCTTTCAACTTTGCATGCATGTAAAGGCACTCCTTATCACTACAAATGTGAAGTTTGAACTCAATCAGACATATAGTTTTGTTTGATAGAATCATTTGAAGTTTAAGGTGAAAAACGTTAAGACGGTTGCAATCTGCCACACTTTTTGGGGGGGTTAAACTGTTTCTCGCAGACGGGCAAACATCAAAGGTGGCAAATTGAAAGTTGTCACCAACTGTGCAAAATGACAAGGCCCTGCAAGATGTCGAAAGAAAGCTTAGGAGGTTTCATTTCTGGATAGGTATCTGAAGATAAATTGTATGGCATACTTACACACATGAGTGGTTCTTCCAACATCCGACCAAGGTACTTCTTCTGTTGTTCTGGGTTTCCAGCAATGATTACTGGCATTTGCTGCATAATTTACAAAATCAATAAAACAAAATGGTGAGTTAACGAAGAAAACTGCCCTGCCAAACCCATGCCTAAACCTATGACTTCTAATTGTAACCCAATACATCGTAAAAAAGTTGCTGAGGCCATTTTACATAATGGCCGAGTAAAGTGGGGATGTGGGTAAATGTGGAAAAAATCAACGTGGCAATTTCCATGTATTTTGGAAGTGTATGTTTGAAAGGTTACCATCAACACACTTGCAATATGCCCCATTTGAAAGCTTATGAAATTCGCTTTCTGACCATGCACATATCTCAAAAAGTCAATTTGTGACTCATTCCTGATTTTGATGTACCGGGTCACAATTATTGAAACAACAAAGGTCTCCATTGGGAAAACCATTTACTGCTTAAAACCCAAGTGGCTTTGATGTTGATGTGCCAAATTGTTCTTGAGTTAGAGAGGGAATACCGATGGTTGGACAGATGCTGACAGACAGCCTGACCCACACAGACAGCCTGACCCACACAGACAGCCTGACCCACACAGACAGCCTGACCCACACAGATAGCCTGACCCACACAGACAGCCTGACCCACACAGATAGCCTGACCCACACAGATAGCCTGACCCACACAGACAGCCTGACCCACACAGACAGCCTGACCCACACAGACAGCCTGACCCACATGGAAGGACAAGGCAAACACAGTACGCCCCTTCAGCTTTGCCAGAGGGGGAGGGGTGTTAAGAAAAATCGATCAGGCATGCAACTTGGACTTTGACCAGGAACCAAGGAAATTCTGATCTTTACAAGACTTTGTACGGCGTTTTCAATTTTCCATGGCATGAGTGTGAATTAAAAATGAGGAAATCAGCTGATCCAAGGAAAAGTCACATGCCTGATCAATATTAAACCCGTCATTCATTGAAAATGACTGGAACAAATGTTGATCCAAACTAATGACGTAACAAGCAAGTCTGCCTACTGAGCCACTTCTGTTGATTGAATCAGATCGATCTAATTCCAATGAATCTCAGGATTAGGGCAGCTTTAAAGTTAGAAATCTCACCCCTAACGAGTTGGCCTCGGTGGCAGTCTGTATGCCCGTGCAGCCGTAGGCAAACTCCTCGGCGATGATGCAAGAATCCAGAATACCCATCCCAAGACCACCTGAGGCAACAACACAAAGAAATGCCTTGAATCTCATGCAAGCCATCAACGAAGGATCTCAATACAAGTGATCCACACCAGAGTTTCATAATATAAATACAGTCATTTGCAAAACTTTAAGACCACCTGGAATTTTAGTGGTGTTTCTGTCACTGGGCCTGCATTACAATGTACATTGTCTTATTGAATGATCACTTAACCACTTCCTGCCGGGGACACGTATGCTTTATATGCGTGGCCGGAATCTCTGAACTCGGACAAAGGGAACAGGGCCTTGTAACAAAAGACCGTACTTGGAAGAAAAGACCAGGCTGCTGGGCTTCACCAACATTTTTTCATTCTCAAAAGTGGAGATAATCCAGCCTTGTTTTGAAACAGTATACCACGGTTTGGGACATTTAGAGCGAGCGGATTACCACTGCGGACAAAAGCACTCCACCACTGCAGCGATGAGCCACACAGCATTGCTCTACACTAATCTGGCCCCTATTGAAAAGAGGTCAGCAGTGCCAGGTTTGTGAACAAAAGAATATTACGTAACACCGCACAATCTGAGCTCTTTTTACAAGGCTGCAGGCCTGGCTGAAATACTCAGGCGTCAATAGAGTTTGTCTGTCTGGCAAGAGTGGACACCAGACATGCCTTCACATGTTTGTAAGTGTCCAGTAAATGAAGATAGGAATTTTTGAGAATTTTGAAAACAAAACAAAATGATAAATATCCTGCCCCAGCATCATCAACATTGATAAATGCCCCGGCAGGAAGTGGTTAACATGCTTTTACCAGTGGTGCCTAACATCAGTGTTGTGCTATTAACCCATTTGAATGAAATTTTTTACAAAGGCAGGTCTTGAATGACATTTTATCTGTAAGGCCCCATGGGTAAAAAAAAAGCCAGTCTAAGTAATCAGAAATAAAGGAGGACACACTAAATATACGACTGTTAACATTTCAAATCATGGAAATGTAGTCATATACCAGTAGCTCTTTAACCAAGATACTAAGGTGACGCATTAAAAATAAACAGAAGTTGCCATGATTGATTGGTTTAAGTTTGGTTTTTCTTCAGGTTAATGCATTTTGTATGGGTGGTCCTAAATGTAATAACAATAATGGGCATATTTAGAGAACCTGCATATCTATCAGTCATGGTGCTTAAGGCATGGCACTTCATGTTTACCCCTGTTCATCTGGCCCACAACCATGCCTAATGCCAGCTAAGGTCCCTGGTAGTGCACACTTCCATGCTACAATATCAGATGCATAATGCAACAATAAAACCCGAGAACTACCTGGACAACACCACACCGACTGTGACATGACTGCCAAAGTTCCAGACTGATTTTTACAATTTTGTCTCCACTATTGCGACATGTAGTTAGGAGTACACCTCAACTGAATGAATCTGAGGGGATGTCATGGCAATACCATCTGGACATTTATAAGTAATAAAATAATTCTTAACATTACTTTTCTTTATATGTATCTTTCTATACATGTAGTGTCCGTAACAGCTTTAAATTGCACTACACAAGGGTACTTTTTTCTAACTTTCAATTTATGCCTGGATGGAATGGGCTCAGACCAACTGCGACACAGTTTGTATAAAAAGCTAAAGGAAGCAACACAGAGCCTTATTTAAATGCACCGAAGGTAAAAAGCCATGCTATGCCATGTCATTTCTCACGCTTGTGGCTAATTGATCAGTGAAGCTAAAACAAAGTTTCTTTATTATGTTTAACACTTGAAGACTACAAATATAATTAAACAAATAAACTGTTCTTGTTTCTACCACAAGTTGATTTATTTATCAACTGAAACTTGAAGTTGCATAGAAACTTAATGTTACTTATGATGGAATTGCCCATTTCTGCCCTCACAGGAGTCCATTTAAAATTATAGTCCATCATTTGCAGTTTAATCCACAAAGTAACGGACAAATTTATCGTTGAAAAGCACAGTTGGTTTAGAGATAGTTATGGGACCAAACTCCATGTGGAATTATTCTTTCTGGCAAGCCGTTTTTTTGCAAGAACAAATGAACAAAGGCCATTGCCAACGATGCATCTAAACTGCATTTTTAGAAAACTGCAATTAGAAGTGCGTTCAAGTGCTGACACAACACATACGTGCGCATAGTTTAACAATACTATCATTTCTTGGTTCAGTGCCTGACGTCACATAGATTCGACTAAACATGAGAATTGTCCCTGATGCTGAATTCAGGTGCAATTGAAAACATGACTTTAGCAAAATCAAACTCTGAGAACATTCTTCTTCTCAAACGCTGGGCTGAAATTTCCTCAGGTTTCTTCTTCAGCACGTTTTTTTAGAGTTTGAGTAATTTGGTTCCCTCAAAGGAACATAATACACAAATGACAAGTGGCAGACTATACCATTAATACTCCTGGGTGGAGAGAGGCAAGAGGGAGCGCAGCAACCTCGTTCCCATGGGTATGAACTTTCTGCGCCATGTTGGTTCCTACCATGCCTTGCACAATCTAACATCTGGTACTGTATAATTTAAATATCCTACTATTTGGGATATTTAAATTTGGGCCTTTAGTCAGAGTGTTTACGCGCGACGCAGATTTACGTGTGCATGACCTGCAGGAGAATACGGGGCGCGAGCGTGTAGCTTTTAAAATATGCATGCGATTGACTTTACATTTATGAATAGCCAGTCAGCGTCATTTTCGAATTCTACACAACCTCGGGCTAGTGAAGGAATGTGCACGCAGCCCATGGAGTCGAGGTTGGGGGTAAAGTGACTTGCCCAAGGTCACAACATGTAGCTAGCTGCTGGATTGGTATGTTTGGAGAGTTACACACCCTAGCCACTGGGCCACAGGACCACACAAAGTACAAGTTGGAATTTATAGGGGAAAAATAAGGTGATGCTGAAAAATAAATACTAAATGTACATTCCTCAAAAACAAAAAGTCAAATATTACCAAATTACCACAAAAAATAGTTTTTCTTCTAAAATGATTTAACCTTTCTTAGTTAAACAGTAATCATGTGATAAGCTGAACATTCATCACATGACAACATGATCAGTCATCATGTGAAAACAGAGACATGGATTAGAAATTCAGATGCCCGTTCCAGTTTTCGCCCTGTTCCCAAAATACCAACATTAAGCCAAGAAGTTTACGTTTTGTCCATTTTTCACATGCTCTAAAACATCTTTTCTGAGAAATTTGCAATCTACAACTCACCAACGGATGCTGGAATGTGCGCATTCATCAATCCCACATCAAACGCCTTCCTGATGATGTCCCAAGGATACTGTGAAGGACAAAAGAAAGCAAAACCCATAACTCAGTACATTAACGGCCTCTTTGTGCCGTTCATATATGGTTGAGTCACCAGATTCTCTTATGAAGGATCTTTCCATCGACACTAGTAAAAGGTCAACTATAGAAATAAACCACAGTGGACATGTAAAAATGATACTTACCATTCCACACCCCCAAGGATGCTTCATTAAACAAGCAAATTGCGTCATTGACGATGTGGATAATCAACCTGACTCCTCAGATATCTTTGTCAGAGAACTGTCCTATGTCCTGACATATCCTCCACTTATGCACAATAAAAACAATAAAACTACAGAAGTGCTCAAAAACCTAAATCGATACGACAGGGCTACATGTCAATCAGAAACATTAAAGTTCTATCTGCCGGCTGTGTATTGCACTGCAGGTGGCTGCTGGTAACCGCAGCTGTGATCTACATGCGCCCATGCAGGGTGGTCCAGTTCAGTCCACGTCACAATTTTCAGGAAGAGACAAACTTCTCACTGGAGAGTAAAACCTAGTTTCGAGAAAATCGCATTTGAAGTTAGTTTCTTTTTCAAAAGCTTCCCAGCGTTTTCCCAGTATAAAGCATATCTTTGACTTTGGAAATTATAGAAGTCAATTAATAGACTTCATTGTTAATTGACAATTGTTTATTTTGTAAACAAACATATTTGTCTGTTCGTGAAAACTCTAAACTTCAAGTGACTGTTTGCCTCTTCGTGAAAACAGCACACACAGTCCACGGTTTTGCCATATAGCACATGCCAGGTACAAAATTGTCACATTTGCATACATTTCCAGGAGTCAAATTTGTCTCTTCGTGAAAAATACAGAATGATGTTTCCCCCACATTACATATATGGACGACAAATTTGTCCCTTCATGACAACAAAAAATGTGATTTATTTGACTTTTGCCCCACAGAGATCATTATGATTTCAGTAGATTTGGTTAAAAAAATGATTACACCAAGTTGTAAGCATCACATAGCCTAACTGATTTTGCCCAAAAAACCCAGAAATTTGAAAAAAAAAACTTGACTTTGGGCTACTTTGTCTCTTCATGAAAACCATGATGACGTGTGCCATCGCCTGGCCTATATTTGCAGTCAAGGAATTGTGGAGTATGTGTGATGATAGTTTCCCCATTATGAGCTCATGCATACCGTGCATGTATTCTGATCACACAAAGGTCATGTCAAAATGACTGGGCTGCACCTGCTACACATGCAGAGAAGCCAGCTATGCATAATGGGTTTATCCATTGCCCATACACTCAAAGGTTAATTCAGATAAGAGAGTAGTGAAGCATGCACTGGTGCACTGCACGCAAATGGAACATGCCCAACTGTTGGTTCCCACAGCTCTGCATAAAATTTGGCTTGCAGTACTAAGTACTATAAAATACTCAGCAGTAGTCTGAGCCTGAAGGACCTAGCGCTACAACTAACTACTTCTGGCTAGGTTCCTTCCATTGTTACTCATACAGAGAACAATAAAGTCATGCATTCATAGTGCCACAGCACTGTATGGTACATTGTCTTATCTATTGTATTTTACGGCTTCAGAGAACAATCCACCCTGAGCTGAAGTGCACCCCCAATCGGCGAAAAGAAAGACAGGTGGTTACAAGCGGGTTCTTGCATGCATTCTGCGTGTACGCAAAGACCATACATGCCGGAATAAATTAGTTACGCGTACTCAGCATGCTCTGTGTCAAACGCACATATACTTACGCTCCTCCTGGCGTGCTTATGTGGTACCAAAAACAAACATACAAGTGACAGCACTTTATACTACATTTTAGTACTAAGTAGTACTTTGTAGTATTCAGGGCTCTTAGGGTCAAGGCTTTAATGGATCATGCTATTTCAAAAAGCGTCAACAAAGCGGCAACAATATGAGTAAAATGATTGCAGTTACACCTTGGATCAATCTCTTTCTTGAGTATGTGTGGTTCTGAGAAGAACCGGGGAATAACTCGACATTTCGAACAGTGTACTCTGTCTGTCTTCAGTCTCCTGAAGACGGACAGAGTACACTGTTCGGAGCGTAGAGTTATTCCCTGGTTCTTCTCAGAACCACACATACTCAAGAAAGAGATTGATCCAAGGTGTAACCGCAATCATTTTACTCATATAGTTCTTTCACCATGAAAACCTTCAAGTCTTATCAAAGCGGCAACAAGTTATTTAAGTCGGGCCTGATCAGGCCTGCTCATGCAGCCTGACCAGCCACCATCTTGTTTTCGTGTGGACGGCATGAGAAAAGAAAGATGGTGGCCCCCATACATTGCAAAAATTTTTTCCATTTTCCTGCGAGAATCCGAAAGCAGATTTAGTTTCTCTTACACATTGTGAAATGTCAGATTCTCTTGAATATGATAAAAATCACTTTTGAATCTTTAGAGGGTATTTTCAAGTTGTTGACGCTACTTGTGTGTGTTGATGCTTGTTGAGACTGAATAGCACGACCACCTTCAGAAACATGTTTGTGCAATTGATGTAAATGTATTCATATCAGCACTCCATGGCCCAGCTCCCTCCTAAGTTGAAGTTATGCAGCACCCTCGATGGATTACGCACGAAGCAATTAAGCCTTCTGCTCTGTACATGTACTGTACCTCTCCAGTTTTGTCATATTCTGGCGCCTTGGGGATGATCTCTTCCCTGGTGAACTTACGGGCCAGATCCTGGTATTCCTTCTGCTCATCACTCAGTTCTGCCAAGCGAAAGAGATTGAAAAAAAACAAAAAAACAAAAAAACAACAATCATCAGGCTGCTTATCCGTCCCAACTTGAAACACCTCCCCAAAAGCTACGGTTCCCACAGGAGTCTGAAAACAAAATTTCCAGAATTTTCCAGGACTTTCCAGAAGCAAATTATGACAATTTTCAAGAAAATTAATACCATTTTGCAGAAAAAAAGTTCTTTGGTATTATGAACTGGAAGACAGCCACAACTTTCAAGGCTGACAAAGTTACAACATGTAAATTTATCATTGTTATCACATCCAAAAATTCGCCCTTTGTAATCATGGAAATCAACCCATGACTGTTCCATTACTCTTTTTGTCCCTCTGACAGCCTCATTCCAGGACACCCAATTTTCCCCCAATTTTCCATCTTTTTTTCGAGACCATCCCAGGGCAACTTAAGATTTTTCCAGGATTTTTTTGGATCTTCCATGACCATGGGAGCCCAGACCAGCAAGAAAAGACAACCGGGCAGGAATCTGCACATGTGTACCCCCTTCAACCAGGATTTCAGCTGTCCCATGCTTCATCTTTTGACACTTGCCATTGAGACGTCAATTATGAGTATATCTGTGAAGTTTGAACTCTCGTCAGTACAGGTTTTGTTATTAAGGTCATTCATAGTTTACAGCTCATGTCGGCCCACATGCACTGAGCAACATCAATGAGACAAGCTTCCAGTAACACTTTTGGCTGAATTGTATCTCAGAAAAATGGCTACTTAGCAAGAATTGTGTGTTCGATCTTCACAAACTGATGAAGCTATTCATAGAAAACACCTGAGGCTTCCTCGAACGCACTGTGGCGGAATAAGAGGAAACCTTCGGGGAGGCAGATTCTCCCTTCTCCCACCTCTTCTTTTAGGACTGAATATCCATTCTCCACCTACCAAAAGCCAGACCGGCTGACGGTGGTCTTGAAGCCGTCTCAGGACTGGACGCTGTTGTCCGGCTCCGTGCCAACACGGCCTGAGAGCGAGGAAGCTGGTTGGCAACAGCCTGTATGGAACAATGTTTGTCATCAATATCAGAATTGATCACAGAACTAACGCATGTGGCCAAGAGCTGATGCTTGTTGGGGCATGTGGCCTAGCAGTTAGCATCTGCGCGGTAACTCATGATAACCGGGTCTGGGATTCGAATCCCAGCAGGAAGTCACAAACTGTGACCGTCACTTCAGCCCTACCTGCCTCCTTCCACCCAGGAGTGAATTGGTAACTGTGAAGGCAGATGTGGTTATGGAGTTTAGCTGTTTGTACCTGTAACACAGCAGCATCAGGCTAGGTCACTTCCCACAACGTTCAGATGATGTGAACCATAGTTGAGGTTTTTGTATCAAAGGGAAATCACTGTTTAGCAAAACCAAAAAAATCAAGGAAAATGCAAACTTTCATCCTCTAATATTACGCCTGAACCATCGGCGGCAGGACAATTTTCAAAGTGGGAGGGGGGGCAAGTTGTTAAACCATTAGGCATCAGCCACTAATGCATGTAGCTCAATCCCATGGAGCCCCACCTAATTATAGGTCCAGCAAAAAGGGAGGCCAGCCCCCTCCCCCATTGAAAAAGTGTGAGGGGCTGCTGTTCCCTACCCCTTTTCGCTGCCGGTGGCCTGAACATTCCATTAAAGTCCTGAAATTAAAGGTTGTGCTGAGTGTTTACATAATTCTAACACAAATAGACAGTTATTTTTCAAGATTTAGTTGTTCCTGACTGGTTTTGGTGTGTTGGGGTATTAAAGTCAAAACCTTTCTGCCATTCTAAAAAGTACAAGTATGTATACATGAAGGCCCCCTCGTCTTCAGGTATGTTAGGCCTACATGGGATCTGTTATACTCAAATCCATGACCATTCAGATTCATGCCAACTAATGCTCATGCTAACTCAGATACAAAACTTACTCGGTCCCACCGAGACCTAGTAAAGAATTAAAAAGGACTTAATAAAAATGTAAAAACTACTCAGTTACCGTAATAGCCTTGTGAGCCAGCAAAGCCAGACTTCGAACAAATATAATAAAAGTGCAAAACATTGTGGGTTTTACACTTTCTGTTCTATGACTGGTGCTATAAGCCTTATCGTAAATACTGCATGGGTGATTTTACACAATGGTAGAAAGGCACTGTGGGAAGGAAAAAGGAGCAAACATCTTATTTCTGACCTCTTCAACCAATTCTTTTGATCAGAAGATGATTTTTGTTTCATTTTGTTCAAAACATTTCATGGCTTATTTTGTAAAGAAAAATCGAGTACATTTGAAAAGATTTTACATTAAACAAACAAAAAATGAACTCAAGATTCAAGAAAAGAAATAAAAATTTTAAAATTTCCCATATGAAAGGTTCCTCAGGTTGGGTCCTGTATGGACTTGAGTTGGAAATGTCTACACAGCTACAGTCCTACACGCTCAAGATATCGAAGCCTGGACACTGCACTCTAGCAAGTTTGCAAAACCTATCAGGAAAATTTACCCGATTGGAGAAACAATGATCCCCAAACTGACCTCAGACGATTTCTTGGTCTGTGTAAATTTCTAGAAATCCCACACTTACCTTAACAGCTCGGTTCAATGTCATTCGGAGTGCCATGGCGGCTGATTCTCAGTAACAATTTCGGACGAGCACCAACAGCATTTGCACAACAAACCAACCTCTGCCTGCTTAGGCCTGCGTGACGTAAGGGGAGTGGTGGCCACGAAAGCACTTGTTTTGGGTGCAATTGTTGTAACCGGCTGTGTCTAAATTCGAATATTAGACACGTCCTGTTAAAGCCACCATACTTCAAAGTTCGTTCAACTCAGCTATACTAGGAAGATGGTGGACCACGTCGTCTGCTACGGATACGAGGAGTCCTTAGAAATGAGCCAAAACAATGTCAGTATTTAGTTACGCAAGAAGGACGTTGTCAATTTCTGTTGGTGTGCATGAACTACTCAGATTGGCCTTATTCTATGGGCAATGTGGGGTGAGAAAACTAGTGTATTTGTCTTGAATTTTGAATAAGTAGGCCCTAACGCCAGTAGGCCTAGAATGCCTATAAAGTACGTATACTACTAGTCTGTTGTGAAAAATCTAAAGTTATGTAATTCACACAGTTCATGACAGATAGGCCTAGCTGTATTAAACGTGTTAAAACTTTTGTAAAGACTTGGAAATCTCTCTTTCAAATTTTTAGAGCAAGCACAATATGCAGTTGTCTTAAAAGTAAAACTTGTTAGGCCTACAAGTTGTATGCAATTACCTGACGGTAGCCTAAGTTCAAAATGTTTGACAGAATTAATTTTAACTGGATAGGCCTGTATTCATGATATTCAAAAATATCATTTTATCAGAACCATATATTTCATGTTGAATATTTACTTTGGCCCACAGAATTGAACTCTTGAAGGTAAACACGTGTAATTTTCAAGTTGTACATGTAACTTGCAGCCTATCACTCTTTGTTTTTCCTTGAGGGATATTTAGATTTGATGTTGTTATTGGTAAGTGACATGTTGAAAAATGTGTAGTCATGGTGAGCCAAGTGGCTCATTGAGCTGATGTTTATTTCCCTTTTCTTTGGCATGAAACCTGAAGATATGGATTCTAATTTCAATCACAGAATGCAATGCTCCCCAGCTATAAATACTAGTAAAAGTCTTGCATGAAGAGAGGCAAATGTACCCCCAGAACTGTGGGGTTTGATGTCTGCCGCACTCCCACGTTGAACCCCACAGTTCTGGCAATAGGGGTAAAGTAGCTTGCCTGAGGACACAAGCATGTAGTCACCTGCTCGCTTGAACCCTCCCCTCTCTCTTTATCTCTCTTTACGTGCTGAAATGGTGAGAGTTGTCAATTGGAGGCACGCAACTTGGACTTGTTACATTGTCTTTTATGACTTGGACTCAACCATTCATTTTTTGTTCATTGCACAGATGCTTATGAGCACTGAGGAGATTAAGCAGAGACACATACTCTTGAAGGCACCCCAGTGTTCTGCAGGAATGGCTACTTACAGCTCAGGCAAGACAGGGACCATTGAGGATCCCAAAACGGTGACCAGCATCCACGCCGGTCACATTGAGGAGGTCCACGAGGTCCCCATTCAGCATCTAATCCGACCGTTCCCGTCAGTGCTGGACGAGGACAAAGTCCAGTCACTGATGGACACCATCAAGGTGGGTAGTGTCTAGCGAAATAGGCCTCTGTCGTGATGACGTCACACTTTGTTTACTTGTGCAATTTCCTGTGGAGCCAATGGGGGCCCACAGTCCATTCAGCACCAGGGGAAAACATGTTTAACAAAATGTGGCGTTATCAGCACGGAGACCTAGCGGAATGGGAACGAGGCAGACCTTTTCCTCACTCTTCACCTGTGTTTACATCCCACTCAGAGCAATACTCAAATTGTGTTTATCCATTTCCACAAATCTTCCCCAAATACCAATTCAAACCTTTTCTTTCCTTCTCTAAAACCATATATTCTGTCATCTAAGCCACTAGGCTTGCAAACTACACTGGTTTTGCGGTGTGCATCGTGGAAGAATCCTTAGTTTCATTACCAGAAAGAATCGAAACAACAGTCCCTAATCCTTTTATTTCAAGGTTATTCATTTAATTCAAATTATCGTGTTATTTTGGCACATCCCAAGTTTCGTTGCAGCAGATGGACATGGTAAAAAAATTGGCATGGAAGGTTTTGTTCAACCTATTAACCACATCTTGCCGGGGCATTTTTCAATGTTGATGATGCTGGGCCAGCATGACTATCATTTTTTCTGTTTTCAAAATCCTTCAAAAATTCATCATTTCATTTAACGGTCTTTTATAGCTGCACGAAGTAATCTTTAGGCACTACTCTAAAATGACAGGTGACCTTCATTGACGCCCAAGTATTTCAGCCAGGCCAGCAGCCTTGTAAAAAGAGCCCAGATCGTGCAGTGTTATGCAGCTTTCTTTTGTTTACGAACCTAACTCGGTGCACTGCAGACCTCTTTTCAATAGGAGCCAGATTAGCGTGCAGCAGTGCTGTGTAGCTCATCGCTGCGGTGGTGGAGCGCTGTAGTCCCCGGTGGTAACCCGCTCACTATAAATGCCCCAAATCCTTGTATACGGTTTCAAAACAAGGCTAGATTATCACCACTTTTGAGAGTGAAAAATGTCGGT